TCTCCCAAAGCATCTTTATCAGTGGTGGGATTCAAATAATTTAACAACTGGTTCTCTGCCCTAATGACCAGCTGGGTAGGCAAGACTGGGTGGTCATGTGATTGGGTGGGCATGGCCGGGGTAGGCATGACATGGGACTCATATGGTGCTAAGGCAGGACTTCCCTGAGATCCTACCTCACTCTCATTATACAGGTAATCCTCCAGTTACAAATATAATAGAGCCTGCCAATTACATTTGTAACCTGGAGTTTTGTTTCATTGAATCATGTTAAATGAATGTGATCACTCCCTGCTTTCCCCAATGCATTTGTTAATCAAATGTCCAGGTTTTTAAAGTATTGCAGTCTAGGGAACAGCATGTCGGGCCTAGGGCTGGAGCAGATCATCTAAGGCTTCCCCCAATCCACTGAACTACCTCATGCTTCCCTGGGGTCCCCACAGTTGCTTCCCTCACCCCATCTAGCCCCATTGGGTCTCTACACACTGGGCCTGCTTTGCTAGCATCCCAGACTCCACTTACCCACCCATTTCCCATGGATTATTTACTTTTTAAAGATCTCCAGAGGTCCAGAAGATGCTGATCCACTGGCAGAGAAACCAAAGTGTTTTATTCAGATGATGGCAAAGCTGTAAGAACGTGAAATCTAAGGAAAACATTTTCACCAGCTTTTCAGTAGAAGAATTCCCTTGGGGTCATGTGGCCAGCAGGACTCCTGCTTCAGGACAGCTTCAGCTTTGCAACCCTCAAATTGCTTTGTCAGGGTTACTGCTAAAAGCATCCATGGAACAACTCAAAAACAACATGTAATGAATCAGTTCTGTTATCAGTTTGCCTTGGCAGAGAATAGTTATCTTTGTCAAGATGGCCATTGTGACATAGAAATATCAGGATTTCTGTCTAAACAGGAGACAGAATGGAAAGAGTAATCATAACCTATCACTGAGAATAGAACAAGCTGTCCAGGGGAAACACTATGGCTGAATTCATCATTGCAAGATTATAGCTGCCACAGTATTAGGAACAAAAACAGATTTCACGGTGCTTTAAATAAATTTTTCAAATGTGGTGAAGAAAAATCACAAAACTGATTAAGATTTCCTTAAGAGAAAGTATACAAAACCAAAGAATGAAGAGAAAGAAAATCATGATGCCAGACTAGTTTATATGCTTGAAGTACTGGGTTACTTTCATATTATTGCTTCCATATGTCAAAGAGCAATTTCTTAGAATGCATTCATTACATCTGCTTCATTGACTTTTAATAGTTTGACACACTATGTGCCTATACTCAGTCTTCTGTCCATCTTAAAATGGATCTTCATCGACTGTAGCTTCTGTAATTAGAAAATAAAGTCTTATGAAATGTAAAGGAAATCTGTTCCCCAGCCATTAATCCATTAAATGGGCTCTACTACAAAGAAGGAAAGAGCACACAAGAGATACCCAGTATAAAAGTTTGAATGATTGAAAGTTCTGTGCAGTTGCTTGTTTGTAGACTATGTAGAGTATGGACAATCCTACAACATTTATGTAGCCTTAATGTAACATTATTGTAACCAATACAATATTAAATATGGACTAGACATTTTTGTTCTAGGACTTAAAAGTTTGGCTTCCTTCAAAACAATAGTTGATCCTTAAAACAGGATGATTTCATCTTCCACTAGAGTTGTGTTATCTTCAATAATTCATGTCACTGACAATACAATTTTTTTTTTCATTTTTTTACATTTATGTTATAACATCTATTTTTATGTCATTTTTCACTATGTCTCGAGTGCTTCTAAAGCCTGTTCCCTCCCTTTCTCATTGGGTTGTTGTTGTCATTACTCAGATTGACTATTACTGTCAATCTTTCCAGTTTAGGAAAAGTGGGGAGAGGTTAGCTCTCAGTATTCTCTTTGTTGGCAAAATCTGAGAACCCTGTAACTTCCAACGATAAGTTGAAAAAAAGACACTATTGATATAGCTCAATATTTTTTTTTTGAAAATTGCTACCATCTATTGCTTTGAATAAATCTCTGTCATCTTCAGTTTCTGATACAATCTAAGGACCAATATTTCCCAGAAGTTTAGAGCATGCAAAAATATATATGGTTTGTATTTTAAAAAGAAGATATGGAGGAACCTGTTATGTTATTTTTTAACAATGCCTATATCTGACAATGGTAATGTAGTTAGTGTTTCAAAGAGCACTTTGAAAAAAGTCTCAAATGGAGCTAGATTTTTCTCTCATGCATCCCTCAGGTATAAATGAAAATTGAAGTGTCATTTTTCACCGAGGTGAAAATGACAAAATAGCTCAACACAAGATCTCAGTAGTGTGTTTGCTTATTGTTTTAAGTGAGATAGGCATTTTCTGCAAAAGATCAGGCAGCCCCAGAGATAGAAACTGCTCTTGCCATTGGTGGAGGAGTAATGGATAAGTGTGTCTGAAGAATTGCACATTGCCCACCAATTTTCAATAACAACGCCCTTGTTCAACAAGAGTTTAGCACATCAACTGAGAAACACACATTTCTATAAAAATAAAATACGCCTTTATTAGATTTTTTTAGGATAAATATTTCAAGGAAAAGTGCTTCAAGAATTTGTAAATTGCCCCATTTATCGGATGTGCCCTTTGATAGACTGAGATCATCACCACATTTGTACAATTCTGATGTTATATCAGTCATTGTTAAAAAGGGTACTGTGGCAACGTTTCAGTCCCAGAATCATAAATGTATCTGTGTTCAGTCACAAAATATGCTACCGCTCTGCCTTTCAGTGGATTACTGATTTATTTCAGGTTGCTGCTTCCTGCTATCATTGGAAAGGATATACAGTAGATGATCATGAAGTGTCTACACCTACTATTATACCTATAACAAAGATCAGACTCATGTAAGCAACTATTCCTTATGACACTATAAAAGTGAAATTTGAAGAAGTAGGATAGAAAGAGTAATGACACTTTTGAATTCTGGTGTTGGAGAAGACTCTGGAGAATTCCTACCAACAGAATAATCAGATGCTCTTTGTACAAATCACTGCAGTGTTTTCACTTGAGCCACCAAGTGACCAAGTACAATTATTCTCCTTCAGAAGCATTAAGCAAAGACCTGTCCCTCTGGAAAAGGTTTTAACGCTGGAAAATGTGGAAGGAAAAAGAAGAAGAGAATAACCAGAAGCAAAGTGGATGGACTAAATTACAATAGCAATGAGTACACTGCTGTAAGACCAGGTTAGGGACAGGTCATCATGGAGAAAATCTAGCTAGGTAGTCATTAAAAATCAAACCCAACTTGATGGTACATAATTCAATCAAAATCAGATGGTTAATAGCATACAGTATAATACCAGGTCTGGCTGTTTGTAAAATAAAAATAGATGGAAACTGCACCTTCCCCTCCCCACAAAAAGAGCAACTTCTAACCTTTTACCAAGAGTGGGTAGGAGAAAGAACTAAAAAAACCCTAAACACTGAATCCAATACACAGAGAACTTATTGTACATTTAATGAACAGCAGTTGCTGGAATTCTTTCCTAATAGTTTCTTTACTTTTTAAAATCAGCCTACATCAGAATCTTATTCCCTTGATTGTTTTCTTTCAGAATTTTTTTATAAGGTAATGTCAGCAACAAGAGTGACATCTGCTAGTATATATATATAGGTCCATTTTAATTCTTTTAAACACTGCTGAGTTCAAGTATCTAAATTACTCTTTTTTTTTCTGCAGGATAATCCCTGCCTAACACTGTCAATCATTAATTAGATGGACCAATAGGCTAACTTGTTATAAAGCAGGTTCTTATAGCAATCGCAATAGGACTTATATATCACTCCATAGTGTTTTACAGCACTCTCTGATCAGTTTACAATGTCAGCATATTGCCCCCAATAACTTAGGTTCTCATTTTATAACCTTGGAAGGATGGATGGCTGAGCCTTCAACCCATCAGGATCAAACTCCAGGCTATGGGGAAGAGTTAGCCTGTAATACTGCATTCTAACAACTGTGCCACCATGGTTCTTCATTACTTATGCTCCAAGCAATGTAAGTTCTGTATTAATTTTGCTGCATTAATGAGCTGCCTACATGATATTTGAATTTTTTTGTGGCTCTGGTAAATCAGTAAAGGAGCTTAACTAAGACAATCATTTTCAGTGCCACTGGTTTTGTAATGACAGATTCAATAACTGAAAATAAGTCAATGTTTCAAAAGACATAAATCATAAAGCTCAAAACAACCCAATCACTAATGTATAATGATAACTGTATCTTCATTATGACTCAAGGACTTTAAAATGTATCGATGAACAACAATCATCATTTTACAGTTATATTCCATTGGTTTCTAACTATTCAGCCAAACAAACCTGACCATCTGGAAAAACATATTGCAGAGAGACAAACTGTTTGCATTAGAAGTCATCCTTAAGTCAATCATCATTCTATTATTAAGAAGAATTATTGATTACATAGAAGCTGAGTTAGGATCTATGGGATCTTAAAATGTGATGATTTGTTCATTAATTTTTAAAATTATTTTAGCTAATTATTTTTTATGTCCACAGAATATTTATTTGGAACAACTTAATGAAATCAAAAGTAATTGTCTGTAATTACACTACAGTTTTTTTCTGTTCCAGTTCCTATTTTAGTTTCAACTTGACTCTCTACATTTTGTTATATTATCTGTATACTACTAAAATCTTGTTATGACCTTTAACTGAGTGAAAGAGTGCATCATAGGGCAACAATTTTTGAACCAAAGTACCTCAAATGGGCTACGTTTCAAAATGTGTCCAAAATGCAGGAGTCATGACTCCCAAAGGAATGAAATTTGGGGAAACTATGGCTGTTTCAGTGCTACTGGTTCCTGTGACACTGTTTCGATCATTTGATCTTCATTTTCAACATTCCATGACAGTTTCCCACCCAGTTTCACAATCTCTCGCTTCCTCGCTACCCAATACAGCCAGTTACATGCCTGCTGAAAAGGGAAGGAAAGAGTTTCTAATGCTCCCTTCCACATTTGCATAAGGAAACGCAATCAGGAAGCCAGCAAGAAGTCAGAATTCACTCTTGATCCATCTGCTTTCTTGCCTATTTTCTGTCTTGGTAAGCAAATATCTCTGAAACAATGACCCAAGAAAGGTTGTCTAGTTAAAATTTTACTGTAGATTCCTTTCACTTGTGCCACTGCTAAGCTAGGTCTTCTCCATTTGATATTTAAAGCTTGTTTTTTTTCATACCCACATATAAAATGTTACATTTCTCTCTGTTCAGTTCCAATTCTATTCATTTCAAGCCACTTACAAATTTAGTTCCTTTTGAATCTTCTATCTTTTATCTAAAATATTAGCCCCCACTTCCCACCCCAGCTTTCTGTCCCTTGCAAACTTGATACATGTACAAACTCATTCTTTGAACTGATAGAGTGAAACTGATAAGAAGAACAATGTCTTATGGAACTCTACTTGATACTTTCCTCCAAGGTTTGGTGAAACTATTAATGAGCACTGTTTGGATGTGGTTATTCAGTTAATTCGAGTACATCTAACAGTGGCATCATTAGCTCATTTCTTTCTCAAAATTCTTGTCTGCACTTTCCAGATGTTAGTTATCAGCTTTGCATTTTTTCCTAAATTCCGGCAGCCCCCTCAGAGGAACACATACCCTGTAGTTTTTGCATTAGTTCTTGCTGCCTTTTCTTTTGAATATAGGTGATACCAATTACATTATTTTAATTATCAAGCTGAGATATAATCTTCACATGCATAATATTAATATGTCTCAGAGCTACTCCTTAAGCAAATTATGTCCACATTTTCACATTTCCCCAGTTATACCATCTACATCATCATTTTTCAACATTCTCATATTGCTACATCATTTTTGAACTGTAACATTTATAGCATTTGTTTCCGTTCAAGTTTTATTCCCACACTAAATTCACTTCAGTTTTATTTCAAATTGTATGCATTTTTAATCTCATCACTTTACTCTATTGTCCTACCGCTTCCATGTTTTTTTCTTTTCCTTGCTGTCTTAGATTATATTCTTTGCAACTATTTTTCTCTCTGTACTTAGTGTGTACCTTTCTCTTACTTGCACTATTCTTGTACAAGTAAGAACAAGTAGTCTTGTTCATGGTCTTTTTACTTTATCATTATTTTTCATAATTCCTGAACCATACTTCCATACTCTTCAGTTGCTCTCTGTAGCAGTGGACTCGAGTCATATGGAGTGGCAGCAATAAATAAACAAGTAAACAAATAAATATTATACACACACACACACAATTTTTTACTCTGTCCAAGTTGCTTCTGTATATTATTTTCTTATCCACTTTCCATTCATTCTGTAGAAGCAAAAATATATTTTTAAAAGTTTTTATTCAGGAGTCAAACTTTCTTTACCCCACTTTCTTTTTCCTCCATGTTCATTTTTTTAAAAATTTGATTTATATGCCGCCCTTCTCCAAAGACTCAGGGCGGCTTACAATGCGTTAAGCAATAGGCAATTTTTCTCAAGGTCTGCTCATACGCAGCCATAAAATGGTCTGTTTCATGATTCAGAACCTCTTATATCAATCTATATTTCACTGCAGTTGGAAATTCTTACTTTTTTCAAGTAAATCTATGATACATCAAAATGTGTGAAATAAATTCACACTCTCTTCTTTATTTCTATCAATTTTACATTTTAATTAGTTAATCTGAATGGCATCCAACATACTTGGTTTATTGGTAGTGACAGAATTGCACTGATCACCATCAGACAAACTTAATCATTTTCTTCTAATTTATGGGCATTTCATTAACCCATCAGGGGTGGGTTCCAAAATTTTTTACTACTGGTTCCGTGGCTTATTTTGTATCTACAAAAAATATTTTGTGGCTTGATGGTCATGTGATGGTAGGCGTAGCTAGATGGTCATGTGACTGGGTGGGGCAGGGCTTCTTGGTCATGTGGTTTTGTGAGATTTTGTGTTTCTGTGGTATGAATCACCACACAAACACACAGAATCTCACAAAGCTTGCACAAATATAAACATATAAAAGCAGCTAAAATTTCCTAAATTTTATGTGACTCTATTTCCTCAAAAAAAAAAAAAACATTTCCTAAAAACAATAACATTTCAAAAAAAATACATTTCCTAAAAACAATAACATTTCCTAAAAATATTTTTTTTAAAGCATAAAGAAAAAAAAACCCCAGCCACTTACCCAATCGAAGGTACAAGGCAGGCAGACAGGCAGGCATATTCAGTTGCTCGCCATTGAGATGGATGCCTTCCACTTCAAGCCAGGCAGGTCTGCCTGCTCGGGATACAGCTCCTGAAGGCTGGAGGCTGTACAAGGCAGGCAGGTAAGGCAGGCTGGAAGCTAGAGGGACAGTGGAAATGTTAGGCCACCTGAGATGGAGCTGAGGCAGTCACGAAGCCTATTGGAGGCCGGGGATTTGGACTGCCAGCCAGCAGTGCTTCAAGCAAGCTCTGGCTGGCTAATAGAGGCTGGGGATTCGGACTGCCGGCCAGCAGGACTCCAAGCGAGTTCTGGCTAAGCTAATAGAGGCCGGGGATTCGGCATGCCGGCCAGCAGGACTCCAGGAAAGCTCTGGCTGGCTAATAGAGTCTGGGGATTCAGCCTGCCAGCCAGCAGGGCTCCAAGTGCACTCCGGCTGGCTACGGGAAGCCGGGGATCGGGCCTACCAGCCAGCAGGACTCCAAGAGAGCTCTGGCTGGCTACGGGAAGCCAGGAATCGGGCTGGCTAGTGCTTATCTGTAGGCGGGAAGAGGTAGCTCCGGTGGAGCACAAGCGACTTCAGTGGAGCAGAATGCAGAGGCATAAGCAAGTCCTGCTGGAGAGGTCACCACTGAGTCACGAGGTGAATAGTGGACCACATGGCGAAGAGGCATATATATAGGGCTCGGATGGGTGGGATGAGCTTTGAGTGGGCGAGTGAGCATCGAGCATGTTCCATGCAAGCGTCATGCGGGCGGGCAGGGCAAGTGAGCAGCAACCAGTTCAGGGGCATGGCCAGCCAGCTGTCACTAATGGTTCGGCGACCAAGGCCAAATTATCGCTACCGGTTCTCCCGAACCAGTGCAAACCAGGAGCAATCCACCAGTTATTCATATATAACAGTTCAGTTTAAAACTTCATTTCTCCCAGTGAGTCTTCCAAAGATGCATATAGAAAGGTCTATAAAGGTCTCTCTCTGTCTCCCTCTCTTTTTTCCTCTCTTTCTCCCCCCTCCCCCCCTCCATAGAACGGAGGGACATGTGCAACAAGGCCATATCTAGAACTGCATAATTCTATGATTTTATTTATTTACTTAAGTTTTATTTGTGAGTAATTTACTAAGTAAGCCTTTACTAAATCTGATATAGCATATTTTGAAAAGCTTCTTTATGAGTTCTTTTGTCTGCAAAGTATTACTCTGCACAAGAACTAATGGAGTTTAATTTAGGCGAAAGTAGTTGTACTCATTTGTGCTTGCACTGTTAAGTTCATTTGACAAAACCTGTCAGTTGACAATTTCAAAAATAAACAGATTTTAACAAACACATAAAAAGTTTTATTTTAAAACCTAGACAGCTTTATCCTTACTGATTCTTTTATGGCAGCATATGGACTCACTAAGCACAGATGAGGTAAATCCTGTTTTGAATGTATTACTCCACAGAATAGCTAGAAATGTTCATGACTGAATATAAAAAACAATTCTGTCATGCAGAAGCTACATTCTTGTGGGCTTATATGTCCCAATTACACAAATGTTTGCTTCTTGAAGATTCAACTATGCTGGACAGGACATAATTCAAGTCTAAGTAAATCCATGAAAGAAGAAAGAACAGCAACTCACTCCAACATTTTGCCAAGAAAACCAAATGACAAATAGACATTCACAACCTCTATTGAAAACCTATATCGAAGATCCTAAAAGTAATTATATGAATGCATGTTTGATCACTGAATTAGATCCAGGCATTCTGGAAAGTGAAGTCAAATGTTTCCTAGAAAACATTGCTAACAACAAAGCTGCAGAAATTTAATCAATACCACAGATCTATTTAAAATTTTATGAGATGATACAGTTAAAATGAAACAAGCAGTTTGTAAGAAAGTGTAGAAAAGATAGAACAAGATTATATAACAGTTTATATCTATAATGTATTTAATTTATTTGCAGAATATATTATGAGAATCGCTGAATTAGAAGAAAAAGAAATTAAAATGCTGAAAGAAATAACAACAACCTCATATATGATGATAATACCACTTTGATAGCTGGAAGCAAGGAAAATCTCTTGCTGAAGCTGAAAAAAGAAAATGCAAAATATGGTTTCCTCCTCAGTTTATCTCAATAGGCAGTGCCAACTTCAGTACAAAAGAGAAGATAAGTAGTTGAAGTAGTAACAGACATTATCTTTCTATGCTCAAATCTCCACAATGATGACTATAGCACAAAAATAAAAAATCTGCTACCTGGCAGAAAGCTTATATCAGATTTAGACAACATACTGACATGTGGTAAGATAACATTAACAACAAAAATATCAGAACCACAGTTTTCATACCAGTAGTTTTAAAGAATGGCTATAAAATCTAGGTCAACAGAAAGGGGAATAAAAGAAGATGAGTGCCTTTTAGTTCAGCTAAATGACAATATCCTGAACCTCAAGAAAAATAAAGCATTACATACTAGATGAAGCAATGCTAGATTGCTCTTTGGAAGCACTAATGATGAAGCTAAAGTTTAGATATTTTGGATGCATACTGTTACAGCAACAGTCATTGAAAAAGACCCTCATGCTTGAAAAATTGGTAGGCAATTGAAAAAGAAGCTGACAGAAGACAATTAGCAAGATACTATCACTGCTGACACAAGCATAAACATACAAGAACTCAAGGAAGCTGTTACTGACGGCTTCTGGGCAAAATGGTGTCCATTGGGTCATGAAGTGCTGAAAGTGGTACAATAACAACAACAATTATGGTTGTCTTCTGAAAAAGTGGTCTGTAGCCAGCAATTTAAAAGGCAAGTTTAGTTGTCAGAGTCCCAACATTACAGTAGTTCACCATGGCTGACCTTCCGTCCCTCGTGCCTGC